AAAACAAACTCAGCATCGCACTGATTATTCATTGCCTACACGGAGAACAATGTGAGCACCTGGACAGAGATGGCAGATAATACAGCAAGGGGCTCTGCTTCACCATTTTGCTATGAACCAGCATTATTGTGCAGAAAGTCAACACACAATTACTTGGGAATTCCAGAAAATAAGTAAAGTGTTAACTCAGTCACTTCATACAGTGGGTTTGTGTACAGCACCGAAAGTAAGACGATTTACTGCCTATCTTCACAATCTAAGAAAGAAACTAAAGCAGCTTTTCAGGGGAACCTAGCACAATGAACCTTCAATCCTCATGAGCTGCCACACCAGCCAGAGTCCTAACTGATACAAAAAATAGATTACTCATTTTCTTTTGTGATCTGTGCAACATGGCACAAGGAGGCATTATTTTTCTTTCATGATTCATTCAAAGTATGATGAACCCTGGATCTTACCCTAGTAAGAAAAGGTTTAATCAAATGCCTTCGAAAATGATCACTGTACAAATACCAACTGCATTACTATCTAATAGCGGGGGATAACACAAGAGAGATGACACTAGCTCTAAAAAACGACACTAGCTAAATCCACGCTCTGGATCCATATGTGCCACAGAGGCTGACTTTGATTTGAGTTGGGTTAACAAGCAGCAGTGTCCAAAAGGGTGTTTGGACCAGCATAAGAAATTTTGCTGGCAGGTGGTTCATTGTCCTTGTCTCATTACTTTTGATTTATATAGCACTACCTGGAACCAAAGTAACTAATTAAAGTCAGTCAGATACAATGTATGCCCCAATGCCAGAGGAAGCGGGAAGACAGGTTTACTTCATGGTATTTCTAATAGTAACCTTATTTCTAAGATTCTTATTTCTTATTTCTAAGAATTAGAAGCTAAAAATTAGAATTAGAAGCTGTTGTGATGTGATGGTCATAGACATACATATGCTTTGATCATTATCAGAAATGGTTTGTGTAGGTACGGCAGGTGGAACTTTCATCGCTTCTGAAGCACACAGTATACTGAACAACGCAAGCACATCACAGGGGAAAAAAGATAAACAGCTGAATACAAGGGCAGCGCTCTGAAAAAGCTATTTCATACTCAGCATCACACAGCAATCAAGGATCCTACCAGCTACCACACAGACAACACAATCTGCTCATGGAGTCATTTCCCTTCGTCCTAAAGCCCAGTGCTCCTTTAGAAAACAGAACTGCTGTGTAGTGAACTTAATCAAATGCTACCGGGCAGGAGACTTTTGTTGTTCTTTCCCCCTCCAGACACCTATTCCTATGAGAGCCTCCAGTGACCTAAGGCTGGCAAGTGCCATTGGATCCTTAGGTGGTCATAGTGGGCAGGCACAGCCAAAAAGAAAATGATCGTCAGGATTTTACTGTTGCCACTGAATCTGACAGTATTTCATTTCTTTTCTAAACAGAAGGGAGAGAGAATTAGTCACGGCCTGTTCCTCCATTTTCTCTTTCAAGAGAAATCTTTTTTTGTGCAACATTCTATAGCTGTGGGGAGAGTTGAGCAAGGGGGAGGTTTATTATTATTTTGGTGTATCACATTAAATGGAAGACAGGAACACATGGGAAATAATATCTATAACAATCTGAAGCTTAAACATATTCAACAGTATATTCAAAAGCTTTGGCTGTCTCACAGCTCCAGGCAAAAACATGGCCCTTTCCCTGCTCTTCCTTTCATTTCATTAAAAAGAAGTACGTACATTATCTACCTGTTGCACAGAATCCCCTTCCTACGGCCACTCATAACCTTTGCAAATGTTGCTCCATCATTATCAGTAAAATTTTGAGTAATTTGGTTCAGCGAGGGAACAGCATCTGGGAAAAGTGCCTTGATGATGAATTAAAAAGAAGAAAAGCTCTTCCTGCTAAATGCTATCTAAAAGGATGGTGGGAGCTGCAATAAAAGCTGAAGGCAACAACATGCAGAATGAAGTTTTCTAGATTTTTTTTTTCTTACTATGGTGCACAGTTTTGTCTTCATGGTTTCATTTAATCAAACAAATACAGTTCTATTTAGCCCATCTGCACCTACAAATGTGTCCTCTTGACAGTACCTTCTTGATGTTACTCTACTGATTTAGACTGACGAAACTTCAAACATCTCTCAGCTTTTCCTCTCCACTCCTGCTAACCATTCCTTTCCCCTATCCTCATACAAAAAGCACTTCCCTTTCTTCTCTTAGTTCACTGAACAGTTTCTTCTCATGCCAGGTCTTTCCTCACAGTCCTCTTTATGACACTTTGTAGAACCCAAACAAATGTGGAAAGCACACAGATTGCTTCAGAACAAGCTCAGAATTTTAGGACTTCAGAACTGGTCCTTTCCCTGATGTCAAAGTACCTAAGTTTAACTACACATTAGTGTAGTCCTGACACTGGAGTACCTCTGCTTCCACAGAGCTCATACTTTCCGTGCATCCTCATCACTTCTCAAAGGTCAAAGACCAGATCAGGATAAAATCCCTCACATTCTTCCTTGTATTCACTGTGTTTTCCCCAACAAAACCATCTTTATGACCTTTGCTTTGTATTAAAGGTATTAAACAAACCACAGGAAATTATCATGATCCTGAAACAAGAATCCTTTGATAAAAGAGATGCACATTGCAAAGAGAATTTAAAATAAAAATTGTTTTCTCATACATGGAGCAAAAGATGTAAAAAATAGGGAGAATCTAATGGCCAGCAAGGACACTGACAAGTTAATAAGCATTGCCATCCCAGAGGGATTGTGCAGGCTCATCCCTGGATAACACAAAGCACTGCTCAATAGTCTGACTGGTTAAGATTCATACCTTATGGACATTTCTGCACAGAGACATGCTGCTGTGTTAAATCCTGGGATGAAACATACTCCTCAAAATGAAAACATGGAAAATTCCTGTTAAATGCCAAGTCTGAAGCAGCCATGATTCAAAGAGACAACTTGAGCACAACAGGTGCCAAGGATGTCAGTTCTTTGCACTGATTTACAAACCAAGATTCTTCTAAACCATTAGGTGTTCCCCTATCTCATTTGAGTGGACAGTGATTTGAGTTCAATGTATCTCATCATCATCTGAAATTCTACAGGCAAGGATATCTTCTCTATCGAGCTTTTGAATAGAATTAGCTTTCATCCAGCTGAAATCTTCGTTCCGAAGCTGTACAATCCCTGCTCTCCTCCTTCATAAATCAGGTTTATGCCTTTTCCATGTGGTTTTGATTTACTTGCAGAACTAGAGACCAGGGAGAAAACACACTAATGCATCAAGGAAAGGACCCCCAAGATAAGAACTCACACAAAATATTATTCTCCACATCACCAGGTACTGTGTTCTGCATTGTTGCTCTTCTTAGCTACAACCTTTCATAAATGATATCAGATGGTGTCTGCCTTATACAATAGCCTGCACCACTGTTCAAGGCATGCATGCACATATATAACATTCATTTCTCTAGCCTATCAATAAAAGCAGAAGAAAATAACAATGGCAAATGCGGTACATATTTATACTGATCTGTTTCTGCAGTCTACTTTCCTTTCTAAATTACATTTATGCATTTTCATTTCCAATTTCTCTAAGTATGACTATCACTCAATAATTATCTTGTTGCTATGATGGACACAACCCAAGAACCTAGACAAAGGTGTGCCAGAAATTCAGTTCTGGTTATAAATTTTGTGGCTTGAGTCACAAGTGATTGAAGACCTTAACAAGCATGCTCAAGAAAACCTGACTACAAATGAAGTTATCTTTGTTTTATTTTCCCCATAAAGAGAAGGTTTAGCTCAGCATATTGCTCGCAGAGATACACAAAACACAATGGCTTGTTTTGGGCTGTTGCCATTGAGTTTCATGCTGCATCCCCATCTCGAGTCATTAATCTTTTACCACCAGAAACACAATTAATCATGGGTTGGTTGGTTTTTTTCAGAGGAAAAAGACAAAAATCACAGTTATTTTTATAGAAAACACTGCAAGGTACTCCATCAATAACAGTCATTTTTCTTCTCAGTACAGACTAATAGATTTGTTCACTGAAACCTGCTTGTCTTTACAGTATACAAAAACACGGTATTCTAAAATACATATAACCAATAGGAAAACCACAAGAAAAAGCAGCTGGCTTAGCTGTGCTGTGTAAGGCAAAAAGTGTCCTTTTACTCATAGCTGGACCATAAATAAAGAAGAGATAGTGTTCAGAAAAGGTGTTTATGCTACTTTGGAGGTTATTTTCAGGTGGAGGCATTTTTCCATCTTGCTCACAACATGAAATCTCTGTCTAAAATATGACGCAAGTTTTGATTCAAAACTTACTAAATCAAAAAATCTTACCAAATTCGATGGCAGTTTTACTTGAATTCGTGCATGTTACTTGTGGATATATTAAAAAAAATATATAAAAGTATGTGAATCGATGTCATCCCCTGACCGTCTGCTTCAGTCACACCCCAGGTCAGAAATACCCATTGCCAGTCGTATAAAAATCTCACTCATACTTTCCTCAGCCTTTTAGGTCTGACAACTTACTTGAGTTCAGCTCTCATTAAGGTCAGTAAGAGTTCTGCCAGAATACAAACGACAGTCCAGCCACCTTCCACCCCTTCAAAATGTGGCATTTGCCACATGGATTCATACACCACTTCACCATTTTCCTTTGAGATTTTATAACCTAGTAATTCTTTAAATTTAAATGTCACAAGCTTTTCTCTTTTTTCTTTTCTTTGCTTTTAAGAGCCACACTAAAGACAGCTATTGACTGCTGCCTTATTTTTTTTTCTTTTTTTTTTTTTTTTTTTGTTCTTTATAATCCATAAGGTAATTGGCTTTCTGGAGAACTGAATTTTCCAAATTCAATTTTAAAAGATGCTCCATAATATCCATTATAGCAAACACTGTCCTGCAGATTTGATTAGTAGGCTCTCTGGACCTGCTTATTTCTGAATTGAAAGTGCAGTACAGCCTGGATAAATGAATTACCTGAGCAGCGGAACTTCTTGCTCTTGATCTGGCTGATTCGTTTGTTGGCAAGGCGACGCGGATTGCTGCATCGAGCGCCGCTGGTTTCTATCGGATTATCCTGCAGGTAATCAGCCAGCCACTTCAAATGGCAGTCGCACACAAATGGATTCTGAGCTAAATGTCTGCGAGAAGGATGGGATGTTTAATCAGAAGTGACCTGTGACACTGTACTCCATCACTGTTTTTCACAAATGCAAACCTGAAGAGCAGAGTAATTGAATAAGCTTCCAAAAACCCAGGCTTGGCGGAAGCCACACAGGACTGCACATGAATGGGAGAATTCTGTAAGCTATCACATTTCGTAGCTCATTAAGCCCTAGGACAGCAAAGCCTGCTTTAAAGGACACAGGCCTCATGGATACTAAGTCCAGTGTTCTCTCCCAAGAGTTTGCTATGGTGCCTTTTGAGAGAAGTGCACCTTTTCAGATGCATCTGACCTGAAGACAATTTTTTATCCTGGTTTAAAATAAATTTTATTGGCAAGCTCAGTTTCCTAGAGATCAAACTGTGAATCAGTAAAGTGCCTCAGATCTGTGGGCAAAGGGAGAATTGATCCAGAGTCTCTTCTCAAGAGTGAAATTGATATTTGCATATACTCATCATGCATAATAGTATTCCCCTTATATGTATTTTTTTCCTGGACCAACAGGTTTTATTTTTGAGGCTGAACTGGTTATGCAATGTAGAACTTGACTCTATTCTTCACCAAAATTTGCGCAACATATTTCTCACACAATTGGAAATAGGTATAATAGCACTGATTTTAGTTGGAGATTAGACTTTGTTAATGGCAATTTGCTGCAGTATCTTAGAGAGGAACAGCATTTCTCTGCTGCTGTAACGAACCATTCTGCTTGACAAAATTGAGCACTATATCAGGAGGCTGTCAGGTCTTTCTCATGGTCTGATTCTGATTTCAGTTAACTTGCCTCTAGCTTCCTGGGGAGCAAGACACAGCTCTTCAATAAGTGCAAAGATATTTTTTTAAAAGACAGATGTTTAAATTTGGTGTGGACAGAGGTGTAAATTTAGAGTCTCACAAGAACTCTGTTCTGCTACTGTGTGTGTTTTCCACCTGTAGAAACCTCCTTCTGGTTTGCAGTTATATTTATGAACTGTCATTTAACACAGTAAATATAAAATACAACAGGGCAAGAGCTGTCAAGGAGTGGGAAGTGAAAGCATACATAGCAGATAGTGCCTGAAGAAACTAAAGATTACTGCAGTAGTAGAGCCATTCCTGGTGTGAAATGTCCAAAGAACAAACAAGCATATAAAGATAGGAGATAGGTTGGGTTCTGTGGCTCTAGAAAAAAAGGCAGAAAATGGCAATCACTTGGAGTACTAAATGTGAAAATGAATCAAAACATTTCATGAACAAGTGTCTCGGTGTGAAGCAACAAGTGCATTCTAAGTAATGGTCTCCAGGAGTACCAGTAAAACTTCATGGAAACCAACAAGAAATTTTAATACCTTAAGGGTGTTGCCTGCTGTTTAACCTGACAAATCTTACATACCTCTGTAAATGAACCTTTCTGTCACCCTTGTTTACATATACATCTATGTACATACATAGCACGTTGCAGCAGAAGAAAGCACAGGGACAGGGCTGGGGACATTTTATATGATTATTCTAATGCCTTAATGGTTTGCAGCAATACATACTGGCCAGATATCTGTTAGACATTAAGGCTGTGCTTGTGGCTACCTGACAAGGTAGCAGGCACCCTGCTGCTAGAAACCACCCCTATTAGTTCCTTTTTATATGAATTAAAACATTTATAAAGCTAATTTGGCTAATAAATTTCCAGCATTAAAATATATAACATGTATGTGTATGTATACACTTCCAGTACTCCAGTATGTGTGTGTACATACATATATAATGTGCATATATATTCCAGTATGTGTATATAGGCATACATGTCATATATATTTTAATACTTGAAATGTGTACACTTACGTGCTACATAGATACACAAAGTCTTATATCTATATATGCACAGAAAAATATACATAAACATATATACACAATATTGGGTGAGGGGGTTCTTCCTGGTTTTTGATTTATATCAGGCTGCCAACTCCAGCTCTGAAGGAGTACTATTTAACTTATTACCTTAATATCTCATTTTTCACAGATTTAGGATGAAACCTTCTCCTGTAAGATATGGAGTAATTTCTCTATTTTTGCTTCCAATTTTCTTTCTGATCCGTCTTCTCCTAATGCCTCCAATTCAAAGACTCTCAGAAAATGTTTAGTGGATTTTTTTAACGGAGCAAATAATACAATGCATCATTTACTTTAAGTGGAATATCAGCTGAAATACGGTTTCAGAAGTGAGGAGCTGTACAGCAGGACTCAGGCCCAGTAAGAAGAGATGTCAACTCACTAGCTCACTAGAAACTGTTAGGCGATAGTTTTAATAGAATCTGTGGTTCATATATTGTACAGAGCCAAGTTTATGTATTATGTTCCCAACAAACTGTATGAATGAATTACTCTGAGAACTTAATACACTTATGACATTTATGTCACTATGGGCAGGCTGTACCAACAGCTGAGTGTGCCGAATTTAGGCAATACTTCTACATCTTGCTCCTTTTATTCCTGTCAGAAAAGGAGGGGCTACTACTTTGGGGTCTCTTCCAAACTGTCTTAATGTCAGATGGAAAGACTTTGCAAAGATAGACGACAACTTTGGGGGAAAAAGAGCAAGCTGTCATGCATACTCACAGAGTCTGGATCGATCGGAGAGGTGCGAAGAGCCCCTTGCTGATGGTCTGCAGTTTGTTATCATAAAGAGATAGCAGTTTGAGATTATGCAGACCTTGGAACGTGTTTACCCTCAGGCAGTTGATTTTATTGGCATTGAGAAGCCTGAAAACAGAGGAAAGGTTCATAATTCACTACACTTGTAATCAAATAAAGATAGACTGAACTTTGGGGTTAAATACAAAAAATATTGACTTGGTCACCAAAGCCAACCCACATTTACAGATCTTCATTTGCCTATTACACTGAAAAGGTGAAAAAACACAGTCAACATTAGTACTCTCTTAGCTGGGGAAAATACAGACCTACAAAAGTGCTAGCTGTCTTAAAATGCTTCAAAGATTTTATTTTTCTGTATGTCCAGTCCTCCCATTTGTTCAAAATCCAATACAAATATTTAAAGACATATAGTATACATAGAAATGGCAAATACTCCCCACCTTGCTATTCTGTGCACACACTCATACACAAAGTCCACAGTGAGGAGAACTTTTTTTTCCAATTTTCTCTACCAGCAGCTGTCTTAAGTCTACTTGAAATTCTGCAAGCTTGATGTCCATTGATAAGCAGTGCAGGGCTAATTTGATAATGGAAAGAAACAAAATATGATACTCCACACAGGTAAGAAGAGAGACATGTAGGGTCTGGACTAAAACGTACCGAAATGCAAGCTCACTGCATAGCTAAAGACAGCCAAGCATTGGACCAGGCTGCTCAGAGGACTTGTGCAGTCTCCATCATTGGAGGTGTTCAAGATGACACTGAATAAAGCCATAAACAACCTGCTCTGACCTAATAAGGTGGCTCTGCTTTGTGCAAGGGTCCTCCTCCAGTCTCATTGACTTGTGATGACCTGAGGTCCCTTCCAACCTCCATTGTCCTACAGTTCTGTGAACCTATTCCATTCCTGTCACAACAGATCCCTGGGCAGTTGTGAAAAAGCAGCACAAAGGCAATTTACGACCTCTTCCAATTTTTTTTTTTTAATTTTGCTTTACATATTTACATAGCAGTCAGAAAATCTTGTCACTAAATTCTTGCTACTTTGTCAATGAGTTTGTAGGGCTGAAACACTGTGGCTCTCTATGAGGCACCACACTAATACTAAATCAGAAGACAAATGTAGGTAAAAAGGAAAAGACATTCTCCATTCACACTCACCCTCTACATATCTATAAACATTAATGAGACTGAGGGGTGACCTCATTCATGTTTATAAATTTGTAAAGGGCGAGTGTCAGGAGGAAGGAGCCAGGCTCTGTTCTGTGATGTCCCATGACAGCACAAGGGGCAATGGGTGCAAGCTGGAGCATAGGAGGTTCAACCTGAACATGAGGACAAACCTTTTCATTGTAAGGGTGACAGAGCATGGCCCAGGCTGCCCAGAGAGGTTGTGGAGTCTCCTTCTCTGGAAACATTCAAAACCTGCCTGGACGTGTTCCTGTGCAACCTCATCTAGGTGTTCCTGCTCCGGCAGGGGGATTGGACTGGATGAGCTTTCCAGGTCCCTTGCAACTCCTAACATTTGGTGCTTCTGTAATTCCTCAGTAAGCAAATACACCATCTGAGACACCTCTAAAAGCACAGGGAGCTTCCATTTTCAACAAACTGCACACACACCACTATAGACAACAAGGTAACCTATCACAGAAGGTTATTAGGTTCATGCTTGGTTGATGCACATTAGCTGCAAATAATGCTTTTCCTTTGAGCCAAAAAATAGCTTCAGAAGTTGCTTCCTCTGCATGGCAGCTTGCCTTCGCATTGCTGCAACTCTAGGAACACTGTACACTCACTACAGCTCTCTGCTTCTACTGTTATTTTGGCAGAGCCTCATTATTGCAGCAAACGGCTACAGTAATTGAGATATGCAAAAGACGGACACATACTTGAGTAGAGCCCTTTTCTCAAGGAGAATGGGAATCCAGTGCCTTGGAATAACAGGGCATCAGAGCAGAACTCACCTTTCAGGCCAACAGAAAATTCAGTATCAATTTACCTGAATTTTCTTCATGGAAAAAGAAGTTTGACATTAGATAAGGAAAAGCCTCATAGAAGGCAATGGTAGATAAATGAGATTACATTTTTGCATGAACTAATGGCTAAAATAATCTTATTAAATCATAAGCAGCAGTAGTATGACCCCTCTGTAACCTGTATTTCTGACACTGATAATTATGTGACACCTAATCCACACTCCTATTGACCACCAGAAGTAACAGGGTAATTTTCATATTGGGCTACAGAAACAGCTCCTCCCATGCATTTGACTTCTGAGATTTTACTCCAAAAATAAACGTCAGTGTCATCTCTCACTACTTGCTTCTTATAGCCATTTGTATGCATAAAGCCAGAGCAATCTTCGTTCTCTCTCAGTTCTTTGCATTATGCATCTCTTTTAAGCTTGTATATTATCTTTGCTGTTAACATCAGGACAACAAGTCTATAAAAGGCAGAATCAGCTACTGAGTTTTGAACAATATCCCCAGACATGAGCTTTGGCATTAAAAATCCTTTGGTTTGTACCCCCTGTTCTTGTGCACTGGTCCCATGTTGTTTTTAGATAATGCACATTAGCTAAGATTGGTTGTTCCATGACAGAGTCTTGGTACCAAAGTTGTACAGGAAGAAAACTGAGAACAAGTATGTACTTTGATTTATTTTGCTAGATGCTATTTTTTTCCTAATATTATAGTAATATTTTATGTTGCCAGCAGTACTTGTAACAAAGTATAAAGCAAAAATGAAAATACTCTCAGTAATCAGAGAGTTTCTTATATGTGGACAACCAGCAGGTCTTTTTGTGATGCTTAAGAAAAGCACACAGAGCTGCGTTGGGCAGATGCTCTTCACTCCTGTGCAAAGAGTGGGCTTGAAGTCCAACCATCGCTGATCCCACTTAATAAAACCTCAGAGCAAAACTGACTCAGAACTGCAGCGAATACACAGGATTTCGATTTGTTCTCTCATTAGTTTCAACAAAACATGAATAAACCCAATGCTGAAAATTAGAATTTGCAATGTGCAAGTTTTCCTGGCATTAATTTTCAATGAGTAGATTCATGGTGATATAATCTGTGACATTTCCATAAAAGCCAAATACCAAAAATGAGAGAAACGGATCCTGCATACGGCCACAAATCCAGAGGCACACTCTCTCCTTCAAGCATCAGAGAAGGTAATTAGGGACAGGGAAGTGCTTGTACAGACCATTTATATGTGGGAATTCAGGTACTGCACAGCTTTTCTGAGACTACACCACCTATTCTGTGTATCATCTAGAGTCACCGAGGTGAAGAGCTCCAGAGTGGAGGATCACACGGAGGACCACGACGGGGGACCTTGCTGAAGTGACAAAAGTGGCTAAACTGTGGGAAAAACAAAAACCAAGTGCGAAGGCAAAAAACGCAGGGAGAAAGAGGGTGCCCCAGCACCCCCCTTGGAGAGGGAAACGTGAGCTCCTGACAGTGGTCAGCACTGACTCCCCGTGAGTGGGGACAAGAGTGACGTTAATGCCCTCCCGTGGAAAAGCAGCCCCCAGGGAGCGCGGCGAACAGGATGGGCAAACAGGGCATGACACGTCAGGAGGGTGAGCAGGAAGGGCACTGAGGTTCGGCCACAGCAGCCGGTCAGCAATGGTCACCACCAGGAAGAGTCATGGCCTCCCTCAGCCATGCACCCACCAAGGCAGACGCAGCTTCCTACCCAGAGCAAGGTGGGAGCACACTGACACCCAGGTGTCGAGCTGCAGGCTGTGTCCTGCTCTTATGCCGATGTCTGACGGCAGCAGTGAGCAGGCCTGCGGGAGGTGTGCCCAAGTAGAGGAGCTCCTCCGGATAGTGGTGGAGCTCAGGGAGGAGGGAAGTAGGCTGAGAAGGATCAGGGATTGTGAGAATGAGAGACCATTGGAGCTTTACCCTG